TTAACGATTTTCTGGGTCAGCGTGTTAGTTTGTCTGTTTAGTAGACATGCTATTTATTCACCATTTACTCAACAAATATTGTTTCCTGTATGTACCAGACACCATTCTAGATGTAGGAGTGAACAAAACAGACCAAATATGCGTTCATGGAACTTCCCTTTAAGAGGAGAGTCTGAGAATTAGCAGATCTATATGTAGAAATACAGTGTGTTGATGGTGCTAAATGTTTAGAAGAACACTGAAGCAAGAGAAAAGGGAAAGGGAGTATCTGAGCCGGGAGGGCATTGCTACTGCATACTAGGTGAGTGGGAAAGGCTTCCCTTAAAAAGGCAGCATTCAGGCAGAAATCTAAAGCAAGGAGCAAGCCAGGCATGCACAATCTGTAGAAGCAGAGTATTCCAGGGACACGGAGCCACAAAGCAAGAGCGTACCTGGCAAGGAGGCCAGTGAGCTGAAGCGGAGTGGGCATGGAGAGGAGTGGCAAGGTGAGAGTGTGGGGCAGCGCACAAGGGCCTTGGGGACCTCCGGGAAGGCTTTCCATTTTTGCACAGAGTTGGAAAGGCTTTGGAGGTTTCGGGCAAAGAAGTGACGTGGTCTGACTTAGGTTTTAAAGGCATCACTTTATAGCTGCTGTGTTGAACACAAACTATAATAGAGCAGGTATAAAACTAGGGAAACCAGCTCAGTAGCATTCTTGAGGAAAGGGTGCATATAGTCTGGCAAAAATGTTTCCTTATATATATCACATTGGTTTTATAATTCTACTGACTGGGCTTTGGAAATTGTTTTCTTTCAGCTAGTATTTTACTCAAATATAGCTTAAATTGCCACAGTAGCAGTATAAATTATTTTCTAAATATAGTGAAATATATAACTTTTTCTAGCTTTGTGGATTACCAGTTGATAATAGTAGTACGCTTATAGAGTGTTGGACCGTCTAAAAAGGAGTTTTGCATTTGTTATCTCATCTGATCCTCACAGCTCTTTAATATCGACATGGTAACAGTTAACTCCCTACAGAGTTGGAAACTAAAACATCACGTGCCAAGGCCAAAGTCATGTGCCAAATTTGTGACAGGATTAAAAAAACCTTGGTCATCTGTCTCCTAGCCCAGATTCATTGACTCTGTTTTAACAAAGGAGACTATTACATTCAAATTATGTCTCAAGATTGCTGATCAAGGGGACATTTATATTAGCCAATATAATGTATCATTTAAAAAGCCTTCAACCAGTGAGCAAGATACTGTGCGTGGTAACGATACATTTAAAGATGTATAAAGTATACACCTACCGTGTGAACTTATTTCTTTCGATAATGATGCTGATAACAGCAAAGGCATTAAGTAACTCTTAGTATAAAATGTCATAAAAGCCAAGTGTGGGGGCAAGCACCTGTAGTCCCATTGACTCGTGAGGCTGAGGCAGAAGGATCACTTGAGCCTGGAAGTTTGAGGTCAGCCTGGGCAACATAGCAACACCCTGTCTCTGAAATACATACATACATATATTACATACATAAATCATATGCTTTTTCCCAAACAAAAGGTACAGACAGTAGATGCTACAACAGTTCGAAGGAGGTAGTGACTTTGATGGCCTGAAATGAAGGATGGGCAGGATTCAGATAGTTGGAAAATATAGAGGAAAGTCTTCTGAACCTGGGGGGTGGGAGGGAGATGAAGAAAACAGAATGAACAAAGCCTTAATGATGTCTTTTTTTTTCTTTTGAGATAGTGATTAAAACAGTCTCACTGGAATGCAAAGATTGATTTGAGGATGACTGGATGTCTACTACTTTCACACATAAAGTACTTCTGAAAACCAGGTTGAGAGGAGAGTGTACAAAAGTCATACAGTAGTAGGCTTACATGTATGTTAGAAAGATGTTGGAAAGCTGGAAAAATGCAGTCAGGTTCTTATTTACACCTGGTCTTTTAGAATATAGTTTAGCAGTTTCGTTGTTTTTTTAATTTTCTCTTTCCGTTGATCCACTTAAGTCAGATGTATCTGATCGAAACTAAAGATGTGCTGCTTTTAGCATACCTCTTAATTTCCAGGCAGCACCTTCTTCCAGGAGCTCAAAATGTTTGTTCATTAACGGTCTCCATCTGATGTGGTGGCTTAAGAATAGTTTAGGGCAAACTTGCCCAACCCGTGCTCCACAGGCCACATGAGGCACAGGATGGCTTTGGGTGCAGCCCAACACAAATTTGTACACTTTGTTAAAACATGACGGGTTGTTGTGTTGTGTTTTGTTTTTTTGCCCCCCTTTTTTTAAGCTCATTAGCTATCTTAGTGTATTTTGTATGTGACCCAAGACAGTTCTTCCAGTTTGGCCTAGGGAAGCCAAAAGTTTGTACACTCCTAGTTTAGGGTGTCAATATATAACAAATTGTCCAGAAGAAAAATATTTAAAGCTGAGGGCCCATGATAAGAGCTAGATTTGAAAAATGAGAGCAAGCTATGTAGAATCTAACATTTGTTTCAGTTCAGCAAACATTTAAGTGTCTGTCGTGGCTGTCTATGATGTGTTGTGCTAACTGCTGGGGCACACTTGAAGGCACAGCCCTATTCTTAAGGAATTCATATTCTGGTGTGTGGGGGCGTGTCAGCGAATACTTAACCTCCTCCTTAAGGAGAGAAATGATGTCGTGAAAGTGTTATATTTAAGGTTTAATATGATGGTGGTATAAGAATCATGTTGAAAAATTAGAGAAAACTAGAGGCCAAGAGACCAGGGACTTGCCAGTAAAGGGAACATTTATATTAGCAATATTTTTTTTTTGAGACGGGTCTCACTCTGTTGCCCAGGCTGGAAGGTAGTGGTGCCATCTTGGTTCACCGCAACCTCTGCCTCCCTTGTTGAAGCAATTCTCCTGCCTCAGCCTCCTGAGTAACTGAGATTACAGGTACCCGCCGCCATGCCAGACTGATTTTTGTATTTTTAATAGAGATGGTTTCGCTATGTTGGCCAACTGGTCTTGAACTTGTGACCTCAAGTTGATCTGCCTGCCTCAACCTCCTAAAGTGTTGGGATTACAGGAATGAGCCACTGCTATCCATCATGTATTAGTAAATTTAATTTATCATTCAAAAAGCCATCAATCAGCCAGGCACGGTGTCTCACACCAGTAATCCCAGCACTTTGGGAGGATGAGGCGGGTGGATCACCTGAAGTCGGGAGTTCGAGACCAGCCTCACCAACATGGAGAAACACTGTCTCTACTGAAAATACAAAATTAGTTGGTTGTGGTGGCGCATGCCTGTAATCCCACCTAATCGGGTGGCTGAGACAGGAGAATCACTTGAACCCGGGAGAGCATGTCTCTGTAGCACATCCTTCAGATAACACTCACTATAACCTCTATCAGGAGGCTGTATGAATTCAAGGTGGTATGCACAGGCAGGTATAAGCTCTTTTTATCGGTATCACCCCAGGAAATAAGTTCACAGGGTAGGAGTATACTTTACACATCTTTAAATGTATCCCTTCCAAGCACAGTATCTTGCTCGCTGATTGATGGCTTTTTTTTTTTTTTTTTTTTTGAGACAGAGTTTCACTCTTGTTGCCCAGGCTGGAGTGCAATGGTCCAATTTTGGTTCACTACAACCTCCATCTCCCGGGTTCTCTCATCACTGAAACAGAATCATCAACATAAAATAATAACACATACTTGTGGTTTCCATTCTTTATTTATTCATCCATTCAACAAATGTTTATTGAGCACTTGAAATATACCTGGCAGTCTTTCAGGGGCTGGGAAGTACTGTAGTCAAGGAAAGAGACAAAGTCCCTGCCTTCATGGAATTTACATTCAAATGTCAGTTGTCAGGCACCACTAAATGAGCTAATATATAGCAAAATGCCTAGCACATTGCCTGTCACATAAGTACGGTTAGTAATAGTTACTGTGTTTGAACTTGAAATTTGAATTCAGTGTCTACTCTTGGCAAGATAATTAGTTGCTGTACCCTTTTGCCGGACGGAAGTTCAGGAGAAGATTAACCTATTTACAAGTTTTTTTTAAAATGTTACATGAAAAAAAGTGAGTCTTCTGTTCAGTGTCAGTATAGTTGAAGTTATATGCTGTTTCAGATGTAACCAGTTGTCTCTGCTGGACCACTTTTGCCATAAAAGAAGCATTGAAGCAGGTGCTGCTCTCTACCATCAAAAGTGGCGTGCTCTTGTCCTCCTTGGATGTCTTTTGTGGGCTCCCTGAATTCCTGAAAAGGCTCATTGTTGTCACTGAGGATGCTTCACAGAAATCCTTTGTGTCATTACTTAGCGACTGACCGCTTTGGTGAAATCTATGTCAATTCTTTTGTTAACTATAACAGCAGTCAAAAATAATGTCAGAGAAGAGAAGGATAAATGAAACAAAGACCAATAAGTCCATGCATGTACACACATACACACATCTTTTAGATAAATTTCTAAGTATTCTCTGAAGTAGCATTTGCCTTGTAAAACATGGGAAATTCTAATACTACATTCATTTTGTCTTCGTTTCCTTCAGATACAACCTGTTACCCGTAGCATATGAATGATTTTTCCTTGTTGGCCTCCCTTTGGCCTTACTATTACTTAGATGGGAGGACTGTCTTGATAATTACACATATAGAGCAAAACTCATCCTTTTTGTGCAAATTCTTTGCAAGGAGATTACATTTTCTTATCTACCTACTTTTCCTGAAAAACTGGGGAGAGGATGATGGGTGTATTTACTGTTGCTGTAAGCCAAGGTTTGATTTCACTTTCACTTGAAATAAACTCTTGCTTCTGCTGAAACCAGACATTGTTAAAAGTGGAGGAGTTAAGACCTTACGTTTTACCTTCAGATTAAAAAAAAAAAGCTTTTCATTAAATTTGATACTTGAATTTCAGATTGTGCAAATGATGTCATTTCTGCAACATGTTGTGTGCATATGTGCTTTTAAAGAACAAATGCTGTAGATATATGGAATTGGTTACATGGAGTTTTCCGGTCCCATTTTAGACGTGAAGCCCTCCAATATGCTAGTAAACACAAGAGGACAGGTCAAGCTGTGTGATTTTGGAGTTAGCACTCAGGTATGTCTCTTTTTCCTCCCAGTGTGTTCTCTTCTCTGCAACAACCTCCTTTTATTTTCAGTCTGTTCTCTGGATTGAAAAATCACCTAGCTGCCAGACAAACAGAAACACTGCATCTTTTCCTCGGCTGGGAGTGTGTTATTCATTTTTAATCTCTGAGCGAGTTTCCTTCATCAGAATATGATTGTTCATTGTTTAATGACAGTAAAAACTGCTGATATTGTAATTACTACTTACGAATAGCAAACTTCATTGATATGCAGCTTTGATATGAAAGCGTTTTGGCCAGACAAAAGGGAGGGCAGAGTGGGAGCTGTGCCTGGGGAGCCCAACTGGCCCACAATAAAAATTAATATTGGGAGCAACAATGGTGGAGGGCCATTACAATGTGCAGCACAAATTTTAATTAATTTCCATTTTGGGCCTCCCCTGAGAAACCCAGTGATAGTGACCCATGAGCATGCTGTGATGTTGATTTGAATTGCAGCCACCTTTACTCCCAGCCAAACACGAAGACCAAAGCGAAGGTCGTCGTCGTATTATAAGTTGTCAAAGTCTGTTATCCCTCCAGCGTATTTAGTGTTCGTTCCATTCTAGTAATGCATGGGGCTTCATTCACATCTTGAGCCATCTGACTAAAAATTGAGTGTGTTCAAATTCTGCTTTAAATTGACTTTTTATATCAGACGGGTTTGGGGTACTAAAGCGATAAGCATCCTGCTTAAGTGAATTAAGGTTATCTGCTATAAACTGTAATGCTGCGCTTGTTTAAATTGGAAGTCACATTCAAAAGAAAAGAGAGATTTAATCATTTTTAATGCCTTTGTAGATAAATTTGTTCCCTTTTACATAATTTTTAGTTGATTTATACGAATGATGATTGTAGGTTAAATGAGGAATAATTGCCCATTTTATTTCCACATTATCTTTATATTGTTCTAACAGACTGTTTTGTCTCATAGCTGGTGAATTCTATAGCCAAGACGTATGTTGGAACAAATGCTTATATGGCGGTAAGTAAACTTATGCAAAAATAACATTTAAAACCAACATCTTTATCTTTATGTACTTGGTAATGTATAATTCTTGAATTAATTCCACAGCTTTAGCCTAGCAGATCATAAATTACAAAGTCAATCTAGTCATGATCTGATTTTTAAATCTTTCTGAAAGACATTAGGGTTTTTACAGAGGCTATCAACTTATCTGACTTTGTTGACGTAACTGGTTGGTTGAAGTGTGAAATCGCTGAGTTTTGAAGTTTAATCCTACAGAAAAATTGCACCTTGTAGCATATTGGCCACTTTTCCACATTTCTTATGTAATTAACCCTCAAGTATACCCAAACGTCAGTCAATAAAATTGGTTGTTTTTTCTTGGAATACAAACATGCTTTGTCACCAGATCAGAATTAAATTATTGATGTAGCCAAATTTTATTTATGGATCTCTGAATGTAAGGGTTTAGGGGACAGTTCTCTATAGAACTTGTATATCTCTAGTTTGTTCACTCGTTTGATTTATGTCTATTATAAGATTAATTGCACTGAAATAAACTTACCAACAATAAAAAATAGAAGGATAAGGCTGTTTCAAAGACCAATGTAGACTTGGCTTTTGAGTAAGGGAAATTATTTGTGTTCATAAAAGTACTTTAGTTTATGGGTTTCCATAATAAACTTGAGAGTCGGAGGGGAAAAAAATTAAACAGGAATCTTATCTAGTGTTATTTTTGGAGCAAAGTTTTGTCTTCTTATAACAACTTAAGGATATTTTTTGTAAGAAAGCTCTAAGTTTATTTAGGTACTCTTTCATCTCTAATAGTCTTTGTTTATAGATCATGAAATTAAGTGATGTTAATATAGATAAAACCATGAGTCTCATTTTCAGTATTCTTTGTTTATATATATTATCTTGATTAAAAGATTTAGGGATGGAACCTTATTCTAAACCTAAACCTTATTCTCAGAACAATACATAAACATTTTGTTTTCATTCAGATACCAGAATAGCTCATTTTTGTCTTGCATTGTTTTTAAAGAAAGTTTATACTTTCTTGTTTTTTGAAGCATAATAGGAAAAAAGTTAATTAACCTCTGATGTCATCATACCTGTTTTTATAAAAGTTAAATCACCTTCCTTCCTCTACCAAGTTAGATGATATTGGTGAGCCACCTTTATAGCCTTGCTGAATGCCACAGTTGCAGTCTTTGAAAGGATATGAAACACTGTAATTTTTTAAAAGGTAGGGAGACATGACTGTAAATGAAACAATTGCTCAACTACCCAGCATGTTCTTAGTAGGTTTAAATTCCTCTGATAATTAAATTGCATTATATTTGAATGTACAAGTCCAGATTACAGTTGTCTTTCCCAGGTGTACATTAAAGAAATTAGTTTTTTATTTTTGTTTGCGGATGAATTTGATGCATCCATCTGTTAATTGAAAATGTGAGGATTGAAATTATGAAATGTTAGCTCAGATTGACATAACTAAAATTGCTTTGCTTCTTGGGTGAGTGAATTCTAGTCATCAGCTTTGTAGTTCAAGCTATAAAAAGCATAAGATACCTAGAAAAGGAGCAGTAATAACAAAGCGGTATCTTATACTTTTTTTTTAGCTTGAACTACAAAACTGAGCTTTGCTCAGTTCAGTAGGAGGCTCTTATTACCCAGGTACTTACCTACATGGTGTGAGGTTGGGGATGGGAGGAGGTGGAAATAACCTATATCATCATAATAAAGGTGTGAATCCCTGAATCCCTGCCTTTTGTCTGCTGACAGTTTCTTAAAAGAGAAGAGCTGAGCTTTTTTTTTTTTTTTTTAACCACACTGGTTCTCATTTTAACTGGTATATTTTATAATTTTAAGTTCAGCATGAGGCCCTATGCCAAATATCCATGAACTATAGTTATTAGGCCAAATTCAGTTTACTGGAACAATGTACCAATCATTCTTCTAAGCTCTTACTGCCTGTTTTTGTAAATAAAGTTTTATTGGGATATGTCCACGCTTGTTTGTTTATATATTATCATGCATGGCCGCTTTAGAACTACAGTGGCAGAGTTAAGTAGTTGTGACAGTTGTAGCAGAGAGCATATGGCCCATAACATGAAAAATATTTTCTAGCTGACCCTTTACTGAAAAAGTTTGCCAGCCCCTGGTCTGTGGCAGTGAAAGCTGTATCTGAAACTCAGCACCTTCAAGTAATCAACCAGCATTTACTAAGCACCTTCTGTGCTGCTAGACAGGTACAGTGGAACCATTCTATAATCCAGATAAGACTTGGGTGAAACAGGAAACATGACATTATATGTAGCAGCATTATGTGTGACATAATAAAGACTTAAGTTGTACCAAACATACATTTAGAAAATAAGATGTACAGTGTACAGATGTGATGAGTCAAACAGTATGTGGAAAGGTGCTTGCACAAGAGAAAGATCACTGTGAAAGGATGAGCAAAGACAGAAATAGAAGGCATGGGTGAGGGTGAAGAAGTGGGAAGAGGACAGATATAATATATAATTAGAAGTCATTTGATGCCCTCGTTTTACGTATTTCCCTCGCTTTATATTCATGCATACTTCTGTACAGTGATAAACATCAGTAATAATAATAGCTTACACTTAAGTAGCTTTATGTGCCAGTCACTCTTCTTACACAGATGAACTCTTAAATCCTCACAACACTATGACCTAGGTAATATTATTATTTTCATTTTAGAGATAAAGAAACTGAAGCACGAGAAGTTAACTTACTTACCCAAGTTCACAAAGCTAATAAGTGTCAGTCAGAACTGAAAATTAAGTGATCTGCCATCAGAGACTAAATTTTTAATTGCTGTGCCTTTCATTATACCCATATTATTTATGTGTCTCTCCCAGTCTAGATTATGACTTTCACAGTGGCAAGATTTATTCTGCTCACTCTGTATATCCAGCACCTCACACAGTGTCAGATGAGTGAATTAGTTCATGAACACTGCATTCCAAAAGTGTCTTGTTCACTAACTATAAGCAGAGCATTTAACTTTTCGTGTTAGGAATCTTGCTTGTGTTACAAAGTATAGATAGCCCAACATTACTCAAATACAGCTGGCTAGGCTACTCAAATATTGAAAAGAAAATATATCAGAATGAAATAGCCCTGCATATTGGAATAATCTCACTTTATTCTCCTGTAATCTGAATTGTAAGATATAGAAAAGATAATTAGGGGCCGGGTGTGGTGGCACATGCCTGTAATCCCAGCACCGTGGGAGGCTGAGGTGGGCACATCTTCAAGAGACTGAGACCACCCTGATCAACATGGTGAAACCTCCTCTCTACTAAAAATACAAAAATTAGCTGGACATGGTGGTGCACACCTGTAATCCCAGCTACTCCAGAGGCTGAAGCAGGAGGATCGCTTGAACCCTGGAGGCAGAGGTTGTGGTGAGCCGAGATCACGCCACTGCACTCCAGCCTGGCAACATAGTGAGACTCCATCAAAAAAAAAAAAAAAGAAAGAAAAGATAATTTGGAAAAAGACAGGGAGGCTTATGTAACATCATTAGTCATTTAGAAAAACCAAGTATGTGCACATTAAGCTGTGTGCTTTTAGGAGATTTGAAAAGTCATCTTGGTCCAGCCTTCTCATTGACCAGTGAGGAGACCGAGACCTGGAAAAGTGAAGTGTCATGCTCAAGGACATACTGTTTTTTAGGGGCAGATAATTATTTAATAGGTTCAAAAGACACCTTCATTCAAAGCATGAAAGATTTTCAACCACATTTTTAAAGGATTTCATCCATAAGGATTATAAAAGGGACCTAGAAGCTTACAGCTTATATTAAACCATTTTTTCAGAAATTCTTTTTTTTTCCCCCTAAGATAGAGTCTCACTCACTCTGTCATCCAGGCTGGAGTGCAGTGGCATGATCTCAGCTCACTGCAACCTCCATCTTCTGAGTTAAACTGATTCTCCTGCCTCAGCCTCCAGAGTAGCTGGGATTACAGGCACACGCCATCACTCCTGTGTAATTTTTGTATTTTTAGTAGAGACAGGGTTTCTCCATGTTGGCCAGGCTAGTCTCAAACTCCTGGCCTCAAGTGATCCACCCGCCTGGGATTACATGTGTGAGCTGCCACACCCAGCCCAGAAATTCCAATTACTAAAAATTTTATTCTGTTTTTAAGATAGAAGTTCCTAAAACTTTAACCAACTATTCAGTCTTTCTGACTATCATTTGAAAAATCAAATCTAAAAATTGGCACTATTGTTATGATTAACTGAAGTTTTAAAATGAAAAAATCTTACTAAAATACTTGGCCTTTGGGATCAAAAAGTCAATCTAAATAACCATTCCCATCTCCAGAACATTTTTTTTCTGGCCAAGCTATTCCACTTCTTGGAAATTGTCTTTACTTGGAATAAAAGCCAGACACATTGCATGATCCAACCCAGTTGGCTGTGCTCATGTGGTGGTAGTGATGGTAGTGGTGAAGACGGGAAGGAGGCTACCATTAACTGAGCATTCCCACGCGGGGCGCACTGAAGTACGTTATGGGATTGATATAATCTTCACGCAAGCCCAGAAGAATACATATTGTTACTACTGTTTATTATTACTATCTTCATTTTACAGATGAGGAAACCAGAGGTAAAATATCTGTAACCCATGGTTTCAGAGTTGGCACATCGTTAAAGGCAATTTAATTAGGACATCAGCCTCTAGTTTCTGCTAATAGTAGACAGTTATTTAGATCAACTCTTCTGTTTAAATATGCTGGCTAATTTTTTAATTTTTTTTAACCATCTCAAATGCACTGAAGAGCTAAAAAGACAGTGGGCTACTCCTGGGACAATTTTTGAATGAAATCCTACCACAGAGAGGAAAGTAGAATGGGAGCCCATCACTGCTTATTCCTGAGGGCATTTGCCTGAATCACAGTCAGGCAAGAGTGGCAACAGCCAAGCTTCAGGGCCTGCCTAAGTCAGAAGGTCTCAGAGGAGATCTCTGTTCCATGCCAAAAGCCTAAATGGCTAACCTCAGTGCAAGGGCAAACTGGATCTAAAACTGCTCCTCTTCCCACAGTCCCAGGAAATTGAAGAGGAGGTATCTGGAGCTAAGCAGAGAAGCAGAAGAAATTGGAAAAGTGGAACAAGCTGTGAACATAGCCTAGCCCTGGCATAGATTTGCACCCTGGGTGTTTGTATACATGTCCTGGGTTAGACAAGGCACTTCATGCTGAGAAGTGGTTTGAGGCGGTCTCCACCTTAAGCCTCAGAATACCTCTCCAAAATTTTTCTTTCTTTCTTTCTTTCTTTTTTTTTTTTTTTTTTGAGACAGAGTCTTGCTCTGTCGCCAGGCTGAAGTGCAGTGGCGCAATCCCGACTCACTGCAACCTCCACCTTCTGGGTTCAAGCAGTTCTTCCGCCTCTGCCTCCCAAGTAGCTGGGACCACAAGCACGTGCCACCACGCCTGGTTAATTTTTGTATTTTTAGTAGAGGTGGGGTTTCACCATGTTAGCCAGGATGGTCTCTATCTCTTGACCTCGTAATCCACCCACCTCGGCCTCCCAAAGTATTGGGATTACAGGCGTGAGCCACCGTGCCCAGCCTCAAAATTTTTCTTTCTAGAGGAAAAGCTAGCAAGCAAAGAGAACTGGGCACACAGAAAACAAACCCACCTGAAGAAGATCAGCAGGAACAGCAGGCAGCAAAAACAGATGCATACAGACTTAAGACCACAAATTTTTGAAGTGACATAGTAGATTTTTAAAGTCCTAAACAAAACTTCTAGATTAAAATTTAAAACTCACTGTATTTGATAGCATGTTAGACACAGGAGAAGAGAGAATTGGTGAACTGGAAGATAGATCTGAATTCAAGCAGTCTGACTCTAGAGCCTGTTTAACCAGTGTTCTGTCTGCCTACACGAGGATCTTGCCAATGAAAAAAAAAAATCCTCATCACTTGTGATACATATTTTGACTATACACTAGCCTGAAGTTTTCGTGCCTATTTTGTTAATTTTCTAGGTAGCCTGAGTCTGAACAGAAATTTCTTTCTTGGAAGAGATAAGGGATATTCCTTGGTATCTTCCTGCTTTTGACAAATGTTGTAAACAGACGGCTCTGGAATTAATTAACTAAATGTGGATTCTTGTCAAGGCTGAGTCACAGAGGGTATGGAGGGAGTATAGCGTGGGCACCAGCCTGAAGGACTGCTCTTTAAGATCCTGTATAAATTCTACTTATGAGATCATCACCACTCTTTACCGTTCTTATTGAGAACAGGTCAGAGTTTTTTGTTTCATTTTGTTTGCTTGTCACTTAAACCTCACTACAAAGGTGTTTTAGACAAGAGTCATGTTTTTCCTATTATTTAGCTTTTCACACTGAGGACAGCTGTCATGTGAGAAAGTAACCTCAGTTTTAGCTTTTTAGCTGCTAAATATCCATCACAGAGATTCTGTCAACAATGTGATACCTGGTAGCTCGTTTTTTTTTTTTTTCCAGGGGAGAGGACAGGGCAAGCCACGTTGGCTTCAGGTGTGAGAACAGCTTTGAATTGTGCAGCCTCAGGCTGTCATATCCTGACTGCATAAATTCAGAATGTTTTGGTGCTCATCTTGTGTGTAAATCACTTCCAGGGGCCTGGGCGTATTTCCCAATCTCTGTCTACCTTAAGAATTGTTTAGGATAGACACGTGGAGCTTGCTGTCGGCTTTTGCGGAACCTTGTTGCTCAAGCACCCCATCGCAGCAGTAATCTTGTTTCATTAGCTGATTGCAAGAATAATTTCCCCAACGAGGGGTCATCAGAATCTCACCCTTAAAAGAGCTCTCTTATTTGCCGTCTGATATCTGTGAACATTATCACTTTTTCTACTTTTTCTGTTTAAATTTAATTTGATTTTTCTATGTTTTACTATCAGCTTACAGTTTGCGTTTGTTTTGATAGTTCAGCGGGCAAATGTAATGAGTGTGTTTAACCTCCTTTTTGGTCCTGCCCAGATATTTTTTTTGTATGTGGGCTCCACTTTTGTGTGTGTGTGTGTGTGTGTGTGTGTGTGTGTGTGTGTGTGTTTGTTCTGTATTCTGGATGAAATGCTCGATACCTGTCAATCAGCAGAATGAAGAAATGGAGAGAGGAAGGAAAAAAGGACAGGGAGCAGGGCAACATTTAATAATTCTAGAGGATTTTAGGATTTTCATGTTTGTTGGAAGTTCTTGATGGACATGAATAGCAATGTATGAGGAATTTGTATTAGAACTCTCTAAGGAGCTCATTTGTTCATGAGGTAAACATGTATGCATCCCTTCAGTCAGCATGCATTGACTGTGTACCTGTTATGTATCAGGCATGGTGCTAGCTGCCTAGTACTTTCTTGGCCTGTCAGGAGAAACAAACTAGAAAACAGCTGATTTTATAGCACAGTGTAATAAATAATAAGATATGAACAGCATTTTAATGAAGTACAGAAGCAGGAATTTATAATTCTGCTGTAGGAGCAGAGAAGGGCTTTACCCTTACACAGGAGCTGTGTGAAACATTGTCGTTAAGCAGAGAAGAGGAAGGCAGGGAGATCTAAAAGGTCATTGTCTCTGCAGGGAACATGGAAATGTTTAGTGACTGGAACTAAGTGGACCAAAGAATCACCCAGAGAAATTTTTTTAAGTGAGGATCTCTAGCCTTGCCCCCAGAGACTCTGATTCCGGAGGTTCATTGGTATTAATAGTCTGCACCTCAGGCAGTTCTGTGATGGGTGTTCCAAAGACTGCACTTTGAGAAATACTGACCAGCTCAAGACTGTGCTTGGCTCTTCTGACTTCTAGTTGTGGGGTCAGTTTGACTCACTGGAAAGAACTCTAATTTTGCAGTCTGACATAACTGGCTTTGAATCCTGGCTCTGCTCCTGGACAGTGAATTTAATGCTAACCCATAGCTCTAGACTTGAACAAGACACTTACTAAGCCTCAGTTTTTACATTTGTAAATTGAGGGCAATAATACCTTCTTTTGCAAAATCATTATGAAGCAGAAGATGCAAAGTACCTAGCCCAGTATTTGCCACTAGTAAATGGTCATTAAATGATAGCTATTACTGTCCTTCTTGTTTACTGGATACAGCACTCATAATGGTTAATAATGTAAACTAAACCTCTCTGTGCCTCATTTTCTTCATCTGTTAAATGGGGATGATAAAATGGTACCAATGTTACAAGGATGTTTGTGAATCTGAAATGAGACATGCATGAAAAACACTAAAACAAGGCCTAGTATATTAGAAATTCTTTAATAAATGAATTTCACACATAATTTTATTGTTGATGATGGTAATGACAATGATGTCATTCCTGTAACTGGCTAGCCAGTTCCATATGAATACGTCTTAGTATCTATTGAACCGGATATTGGGGTGTAAGTTATGATCTCAGCCTTGCCATGATTAGCCTGTAATCTTTAGCAATCATCCCTCCTTTGTGAGACCTCAGTTTCTCTTATTCGTTAGTTCATGTGTTCATTCCAAAGCCTTCTAGGAAGTACTGTATTGAATGCCAAATCCTGGAGGGATAGATCAGGCAGCATCCACTCAGTATGCAATTAGTCCTGTTGAAGTAGAGTATGTTTATGTAGCATCTTTTAGACCAGGTATTTGCTATACATCTTGAGTGGAGCACCAAGAGTCCCAAATGGAACTTTCAAACTCTTCCTTGGTTCATATATAAAGAAACTCTTATCAGTGGAAAGAAATGTTGAACAGTAGAATCTGGGTAAAGGAAATATGGATATGCTTTGCTGTAATCTCATTCTTTCAAATTTACTATAAGTTTGAAATTACTTCCAAATAAAAAAAGAAACTGTACTGTTCCAGACCCATCTAATGCAAATAAGTGATAATATCACATAATGTTGTATAATTTGTTACTGCACAACCAAGACCACTGGATTTGGAGTGGGAAGATCTGGGTTCTAGTCTCAGCTTATTCACTACCACTACTTTAGGACCTTGCCTAAATTACCTCACTACTCTGAGCCTCCATTTTCTTCATCTGTGAAATGACTCCCAAAGTCTTCCTCACGGGGATTTGGTGAGGACTCAATAATATATCTATATATAATTTCTATATATTATGTATATACTATATACACAAATACATACATACACACATATAAAACTGTTTTGTCATCCATAAAATGCTGTGCAGATGTTGGTGGCTCTTCACCTTAGCTGAGCTCGTGTCCAGTGTGTGTGTTTCCCGGAGTAGCATCTATCAACTCACAAGCTCCCTTCTGTTTTCTTGCAGCCTGAAAGAATCTCAGGGGAGCAGTATGGAATTCATTCTGATGTCTGGAGCTTAGGAATCTCTTTTATGGAGGTATGTTGTTTGTACATAGACTCTTCTGTGCATATCTGTACTAATATTTTCAATCAGGAAAGTGAAGATTTTGAAAGAATAAGATAAAATAAACCTTCAGCATGTTATATAGATGTATGCACAGAGTTTGACCATAAAGTCTTTGTTCCTTGTGTGGCTTGTCAACTGACTCTGGAGGTTATTTTAAAGCACTGTTTATTATAGATCACCTGTGTAAGACTTGCCTGGAGCACTTGTTAAAAATACAGATTCCTCAGGCTGGGCAAGATGGCTCACACCTGTAATCCCAGCACTTTGGGAGGTGAGACGGGTGGATCACCTGAGATCAGGAATTCAAGACTAACCTGACCAACATGGAGAAACCCCGTCTCTACTAAAAATACAAAAAATTAGCTGGGTGTGGTGGCACATGCCTGTAATCCCAGCTACTCAGGAGGCTGAGGCAGGAGAATCGCCTAAACCTAAGAGGTGGAGGTTGCAGTGAGCCGAGCTAGTGCCACTGCACTCCAGCCTGGGCAACAAGAGCAAAACTCTGTCTCAAAATTAAAAAAAAAAAGATTCCTCAGCCCCATTCAGAACCAATTAAATCCAAATCTCTAAGAATCTGCATTATTAACCTGTTCCCTGGGTGATTCTTATAAAACACTAAATCTGGAGAACCTGTGTTCTAAAAGAGGGATTCCAGAAAAATTCTGTGCCCTGTTGGAATGCATATATAACTTCCAAAGGTGATTAGTTTAAAAGGTACAGCCCTACTCATTTGGATGTTTAAGTTCTATAGGTTTGTTTTGAAAGGAAAAAAAAAAGTCACCTCATTATAGTATAGTCATATCACATGTGTATGTGGGTTAAGGGGTGGTGTGATATGATGGAGGCAGAAGGGGAAGAGGAAGTATGTATTTAGCACAATTGCAATATCTACTCTTTATAGCTGTATTTAGAATGGACTTTATCTTAGTATACTAGATATAGCTCCACTAGAACTCTATGCTATGCTTTTTTTTAGTAAAATGATTATTGATTTACAAGAAAATGCATATAAATTATATTAGAAGGACATATGGCTCAGTTTGAATTATAATATTACAGAACCTGTATACTGACCAGTGCTTCAAAAATTTTCATTTAAATTGATTCAGAAAAAGAAGGACTTTTTTTTTTTTTCTTAATGGTGATGGGGTCTTGCCATATTGCCCAGGCTGGTCTTGAACTCTTGGGCTCAAGTGATCCTGATGCCTTGACTTCCCAAAGTGCTGGGATTTCAGGCTGGGGCCACTGTTCCTGGCCAGTACTTCTTATAATAGAAAAGTAGAAAGGACTCTTTAAATAATGTCATAGAGTTGCAATCATGATTTTATAACCATTTTTTTTTTAGTCAAATACTTTTTCTGCTATTTTTGTAATGCATGAATGCAATTGTATTTGTCAGGAAATAATCTTCAAACTCAATTCACCTGCACAGTAGCAAGAAAGCAAAAATAAACTGTTCAACTTTATTAAATCTTCTTCTTCTTAAAAGGGAATCTAAGAGGAAATACAGTATGTATGCATCAGCTGAGAGGTTGGCAATAATGGTGGTCAGATCTCAGAACTGAATCTCCCAACAGAATCTTCAAGGGCCTATTCTATTAGCCTGTTTCAAGGCAAACTAGTGTTTTTGATTTGTGGGACTCAGGATTGCTGTTACACAATTTCCTTTTGCATATTTTAAGTTGTTGTCATTTATTTTATAAATGACTGGATATAGTGTAAGACAATTGAGAAGTTACATGGCGTAGAGATAAGAATCCAAGATTGGGAATGGAAGACCTAGATTATAGTTCCAGGTTTGCTACTAGTTTCTTAGGTGACCCTGTTCTTCACTGGGCCTCAGTGTCTTCATTTGTAAAATACTGACCTCTAAGCCCCTTTCTAGAGGAACATTCTATGACTCTGCTACTGCTCATTTTTTTTGTTTTCTTTCCTTAGCTTTCACATACTCTAGAGTTGTGTGACTAAGACAGTGATAAAATGGCATAAAATGCAGAGGCATGGCACTACTGGAAGAGAGCGTAACTATTAGATCTAAGATTTAGAGCACATATGAATGTTCACCATTCATCCTTTCTACATTCGTTTATGCGTTCATGTGCTGAGCTCCTGCTATGCCTGCTGTGTAGGCAATGGGGATGGAGTGATGAAAGAACACGCAAGTCTTGGCTGTCATGGAGTTCCATTTGGGGATGGCTCGGGCATGAGGGGAAGGACAGAAAACAAAAGGGTAACTAACTATGTAATTTGTCGGGTGGTGATATGGAGAAAAAGAAAGCACACCAGTCCTCTCTGATGAAGTACCACTCGAGCAAATACTTGACTCTGTGAGAGAAGGGAGCCACCTGACAACAAGTTCAAAGGCACCAAATAGAGGGCACTCGGCGTATTTAAGGGAGAGACCAGTATGACTTGAGTGGAGTTAGCAAGGAAAAAGTGAGAAAGAATAAATTTAGAGCAGTAGCCAGGGGCCAGGTCAAATATAGCCTTGTTGGCCATGCTAAGGACTTTAGGTATTACTATTACAAGAAATGATCTGACTTAAATTTTCACAGGATCACTGAGTGCTCTGTGGATCATGACTGTGGAGAGGCAGGCATGGAGACAGGGAGATCAGTTTAGGTAGGTAGGAAGACAGGTGCTCAATAAATATGACATAGTTATCTTTATGTTGCATATTGAAATATGGGTCTGTCTGCCAGTATTTTGCCGTATGCTAGGGGTGCAAAGATGATTGAAAAGACACTCTTTGTGGTATAAGGAGGGAGACTGCCATTGATGTATTTGGGTTTTCTTGATGATATTCATTTATCCTGGAGATAAACTATTGAATATTCTCTGGAAGACTGAAAAAAACAGACTCATTGAATTTTGGGGATCAAAGAGGATTAGGTATAGAGAACTGTGTGAAAAAGTGTCAGCCTTGAGTGTGGGACACCTGAATGCCAGAAGGACTGTGTTGGCTCATGCGGTAAAGTAGAGAGCAGATAACCAGATGGTCAGGAGTGAAGGCCAGGAAGAGCTAGGCTTCTTGATGCTCCTTGTACTTTAAAATGGCTGGTAAGGAGCCGGGTGTTACAGCAGAAGGAAGAGATGTTATTAGAGATTGTAGAGAGGAATCAGATTATGATCATCAGAGAGGGTTGGTGAGCACCTCTGTACATGATGCTTAACTAAATGCCTTCAGAAGGAACTATGGGATTGTAGCCCCTGCCCTTTAGGGGCTTATTACTCCCATGCAACATGTTACCAACCCAGGTAATAGACCAGTAAGTCATTAAAGAATAGTGTAAGGCCTCTGGCATATGTTTTATGCCTAATCTGTTCGGGGTCCAAGGTAAAGAAAAGCATGTGATAGGGAAAAGAAGTAGGAGGTTTTGAGCCCATAGATGAGAAATTGTGGGGATTCAGTAGTGAAGATAACAAGGGAACCCCAAGGTTCTTGTTTTTTCTTAAGGGCCAATGTGATGAGAACACTACCTGAAGGGATTAGGAAGTTAGTCCAAAAGAAGTACTTGAAGGCCAAGATTCTTCTGTGTTTTTACCATAGTATGCTAGGAATAGAAGTGGTAAATACAATTTAAAATCACTATAGATGTAATTGTGAATCTTAATAGCATTTTAGAATCTGAGGAACAAACTGCATTCTGTAACATAGTCAACACTTTCTAAGAATTGCTCCTCTTCTGTTTACTCTCATTTTTAAAAACAAGATTTTCTTTCTAGCAGAAACTTTCCTTCCTTCAATTCTTAAGCACTTGCCCTGCCAGGCCCTGGAGAGTGGAGCACACAGAGCTAAGGAGAGCCCACCTCTGGTAGAGAAGACAGACACCTATAGCCCAGAATAGTGTGATGGGTCTTCAGTAAAGATATTTACGAACGACTCTGAGCCACAAGGGGAAGGGGGTGGGATTTCACGCAGAGTTGACATTTGAGGGAGATTGATCTCGAACAGACTTTGCCATTAGAAGAAAGTGGGAAAAGATGGAGGATCCCTTCCCCATTTCCCAGCATACTCTAAGACAAACACTTAAGGAGAGATGAAATGTCACATTTTTATGCAAGGTCTCCCCTAGTGTAGTTTCATTACCTGTTTGTGTGCATGCCTTCTTCAAAAGTGTTTTCAGTTAAACAGTTTCTTCTCCTAGGGTACCTGTGGTGGAGGAAAAAATGGGTAAAAATATAGGAAATTGAGCAAAGGAATTTCCTTGAAATTGCACAGGAATCAAATAGAGACCAAGCCTGGTGGCTCGCTCCTGTAATCACAGCACTTTGAGAGGGTGAGGCAGGAGGATTGCTTGAGGCCAGGAGTTCAACACTAGTCTAGCAACATAGCAAGACCCCATCTTTAAAAAAAAAAATTTTTTTTTTCATTTAGCCGGGATTGGTGATGTGTGCCTTTAGTCCTTGCTACGTGGCAGGCTGAGGCAGGAAGATTGCTTCAGCCTAAGAGTTTGAGGCTGCAGTGAGCTATGATTGCATCACCATACTCCAGCCTAGTCAACAGAGCAAGATGCAGTCTTTTTAAAAAAAAAAAAAAGGTTGGGGGCAAGTGCGGTGGCTCACATCTGTAATCCCAGCACTTTGGGAGGCTGAGGGGGGCGGATCATGAGATCAGGAATTCAAGACCAGTCTGGTCAACATAGTGCAACCTCATCTCTACTAAAAATACAAAAAATTAGCCGGATGTAGTGGTATGTGCCTATAATCTCAGCTACTTGGGAGGCTGAGGCAGGAGAATCACTTGAACCCGGGAGGCAGAGGTTGCAGTGAGCTGAGATCACGCCATTGTACTCCAGCCCAGGCGACAGCGTGAGACTCCATCCCTCCCCCCTCAAAAAAAGAATCAGATAAAGACAAAATGGGAATGAAAATTTCCTCTCTTCTATGTCTCCCTAGCACCCTTTCCCCCAGTTTCATAAACCCTCATCTCTGACGTTTGGCGATGCCAGAAGCAGAAAGTTCAGTTTACAGCTGTCAGACTTGAAGGCTGCCCCCACCACCTCCCACTTTTTTTTTTTTTTTTCTAGAGACATTGTCTTGCTGTGTTGCCCAGCATTGCTTCGAGTTCCTGGGGTCTTCCTCCTGCCTCAGCCTCCTGAGCAGCTAGGACTACAGGTGCACCACTGCACCCACCTGAATGCCTTCATTGTTTTAAACCCCTGAAATGACAGAATTCCTCCTTGTCTGCCTTCTTCCCACTGCCCCTTGCCTTGTTAATGTGCTGTCACAGCCCCCATTAGGAGTCATAACAAGGCCGCCACACTCTTTCATAAAAAATGATGCTACATGCCACTAAAATCTGCCATTAAAAAAAACAACAACAACAACTCGCAGACAGGTACATTTATGCCTTAAGCAAAGAAACTTTAATATCAGACTATCTTTTATCCAGGGACAGAATCACTCCTTTCTCCTTTCAGTACAGCATCCCTCTGTTAGAGGGATAAAGGGTGTGTCTTCCAGGTTTTTGTCACCTGCATGTAGTATTTGGAGTTGGCAGATGTAACAAAAAGAAGGAAATTACCCTTAGGAAGGGAAAAAAGTATTGTTTACCTTGACTAATGTATGGCAGTTTGAGTTGATGGGAAGAATTTGGCCGGTTTCTCCATTGTCTGTTTGTAGTTTTTAACTCAGATCTTTAAATGTGTTGTAGTTCCCATCCTCTGGATTAGTTATGGAATCATTAAAGGTCATTGCCTTATATGGGGTTTGTATGGGCTCCCTCTCTACTGAGGAAGAGAACCCATGTGGATTTGTAGTTCTTTCTCCTTGAACCTTCATTAGCAAGAATCAGTGTGGAAATGCAAAAAGAAAATAAAAAAGAAGTGAGACCCACTAACAAGGATATAAAATTCCTGAACTAGGACAAACTAGGAGGATAATCCTTCCATGGAATATTTGTTTACCTCTTCTAGAAAGCTCATACTGATTCAGTTGCCTGGGAGATGTTAAGGATTGTTAACCTTGCAGTCACTGTTCAAGACTTCAGGGCTAAAAAAAAAAAAAAAAAGAGAGACTTCAGGGCTAAACTTTAAAATGAAAATGAATTTGGTATATGTATAAACTACCAAGTTTGATAGTTTTATTAGGGTTGGCTAAAATATTTTAGGGCATAATTTCTGAATTTCAGAAATTATGGCAGTTCAGTCTAAAGTATGGCTTAAGGATAAAGTCCCAGTCTCATTTTTTACGAAGTAATTATTCCATTTATATTATCATATCATTTGAGTTCGCAAGATAAATCTGTAGTGGGGAAGTAAACAGTCATATCTGCAAAATTGAGTTTTAAGTTGGTCCTTCTTGAATGAAAAACTAAGTCGACATGCATTCTCCTTAGCCCTGCAATCTGGAGTATTTAGGGTGCTGCATCTGCATAAAAAAGGCACCAGGCTAGTCCTGTAATGTTCTTATTTTCACTGAGGATGCTATACAAATACATATTCTGTTTTGGGATTCTGTGTGGTGGGTTATTATACACTTTATTAAGGTTGATAGTGAATAATCTGACAGGCTCTTCTATTGGAGTCAGACTGAAAACCTGCCCCCTACCCTTTTTTAGAGGCAGTCTTGCTAGGTGGTCCAGACTTGCCTTGAATTCCTGGGCTCAAGCAATCTTCCCTCCTCACCCTCCTGAGTAGCTAGGACTACAGGTGTGCCACTGAAAGCCCCATCTTTAGCATATACATTTTTCTCTTTTTGCTTGGATCCTCATTCTTTCTGCCTGTTTGCCGCCTCTCTAACCAGTCTCCTGAGTCTGAGGCATAGAACAGTCTGGCTCAATGTGCCTGGTTAATTGGTGTGTCATCTAGTCCTCTGAGATCTCTCTTCATCATAACCAGTGCTTTACTGAAGTGATTTGAATGATGTGCTAAATGATGAAAGCAAGGACCATGGCTTAGAAAAATGTCTCAAGATAGGTCAAGAACATATTCAGAGAACCACACAAGGTCATTGTCATTGTCATGTAAGTAACATCATCTTCTGAAAAAAGAACTTCTTTTTTCGAGATGGAATCTTACTCTGTCGCCCAGGCTGGAGTGCAGTGGCAAAATCTTAGCTCATTGCAACTTCCACCTCCCAGGTCCAAGCAATTTTCCCGCCTCAGCCTCCTGAGTAGCTGGGATCACAGACGTGTGCCACCACGCCCAGTTGATTTTGTAACTTTAGTAGAGACGAGGTTTCACCATGTTAGCTAGGCTGGTCTTGAACTCCTGACCTCAGGTGATCCACCCACCTTGGTCTCCCAAAGTGCTGGGATTACAGGTGTGAGCCACTGCACCCGGCCATCTTCTGAAGATTTTTATGGGCTCTATTGTTTTGACAAAAATAATTGTGAGTTTTAGAATTACCAAGTTAAAAATAAACCCATAGAATATTATGCTGTTCTCTGTACATGTAATATTTTTCATCTCCCCAAAATAGAGTTTAAATAACCATCCTTTGTGATGCCAGCTCTGATATCTCCAGCTGAAGGTAATATCTTCCTCGTCTGCCTTCGTCTGCATCATGCTTGTGGCATGTAAATTGTCCACTTTGTATTACAGTAATGTATAGGCATGTCATAGTTCCTTATGACAGGACTCGAATCTGATTCTCTCCTAATCTTCCATACTGTTTAGTACAATTCCGTTCCCCCAGTGGGCACTCAAGAAATCTTTTTGACTTGGTTTCTTCCTACTTTTGTAATAGTTTTTTAATAGCAGTTTCTGAAAATAAAGATCAGAGTTTAAAGTGTGATGGAGTCTTTAATATAAATTTCCATAGATATTTGCAGAATTGATTACAGTGTTTTGCTTGTGAAGAAGAGCTTTCAGTTTATCAAAGTATCAGATCCAGATTTGAATTCTACTTCAGCCAGCCTAAGATAGAGAACCTTGGGTAAATCATTTAATTTCTCTGAGCCTCAGTTTCCTCCTCTTTAGATGGAATATCTACTTTCAGAGCCTTTGGACAAAGTTCACAAGGGAAAAAAGGCTTTATCCCCTCTCTTTAAAAGGAATTACCCTTTGAAATGTTTACATTTGAATCAGAAAGACTACTAATTTGGTTAAAGATGATGCAAGCTTTAGCTTACAGTTTCACCTCAAACTCCGCTAAAAATAGTCATAATGTGATTTACACACACACACATACTCACAAAAAGGATACCATAAAGAGAAAGGGAAAGGAGACAACAGCACTTAAGTTTTGAATATCAGACAACAGTAAACAACTGTCTCAGACCAGGGCTGAGAATACAAGCAAGCCGGCAGTCTGATGTACTGTAAACACCCAAAGGCTCCGGAATTGGTGGGACCAGGTATGTGGAGCTAGGAGTCAAGGTGGAACCAACAGAGGAGAATTGCTTTAAAGTCAGTTTGACAATTATGATGACTAATCTTTCATTTATTACAAACTAATATAAATTACTTATGAAACCCAATAGAAGACAGTTGTTAATGTACTTGAGTAAACAGCGTGGGTGGACGCTCAGCCTAACAAAACTGAGGCGAGGGTTTTTTGGAGCAAATAAAATAGGTGATACCTGGCACCATAGGAGCCTGGGTTCCATTACTGCATTCAAAGGCATTGAGTGAAAGTTTAGATTCTGAATGTTGAGACCTCCCATCCTGTTCCTAGGATTCTCATGGTCAAGATTACTTTTCAGGCAAGAGATTGGCAGAGACTTTCTCTAAGGAAATTGACTAGGAAGACTTAAAGATCCAGATGTCGGGAGTTCCCCAAGGAAACACCCTAGCTAGATCACATTCCCAGGAGAGCCCTTATTGGATATAACTACCTTTTGTCTCACTGGAATGTAAAAGCTTAACACATCTCATTTTTACGTATACATATTGTTTAATGGAAGTCAGATAAGACTCATTAGATATCAGGAAAATGAGATGTGATCTTCTGTACTTATAAATAAACACATAAACCATGTAGAGCTGTGTAAATATAAGAAAAAGTATTTATGGCCGGGCGCGGTGGCTCAAGCCTGTAATCCCAGCACTTTGGGAGGCCGAGGCGGGTGGATCACGAGGTCAAGAGATCGAGACCATCCTGGTCAACATGGTGAAATCCTGTCTCTACTAAAAATACAAAAAATTAGCTGGGCATGGTGGCGTGTGCCTGTAATCCCAGCTACTCAGGAGGCTGAGGCAGGAGAATTGCCTGAACCCAGGAGGCGGAGGTTGCGGTGAGCCGAGATCGCGCCATTGCACTCCAGCCTGGGTAACAAGAGCGAAACTCCGTCTCAAAAAAAAAAAAAAAAAAAGTATTTAAAAAGTGGCATGGGCCGGGCACAGTGGCTCACGCCTGTAATCTCAGCACTTTGGGAAGCCGAGGTGGGTGGGTCACCTGAGGTCAGGAGTTCAAGACCAGCTTGGCCATCATGGCGAAACCCCATCTCTATTAAAAATACAAAAATTAGCTGGGCATGGTGGCAGGCACCTGTAATCCCAGTTACTTGGGAGGCTGAGGCAGGAGAATCGCTTGAACTCAGGAGGCGGAGGTTGCAGTGAGCTGAGATTGTGCCATTGCGCTCCAGCATGGGTGACCGAGACTCCATCTCAAAAAGAAAAGTGGCATGAATCACCCAGCCCTATACCCTTGACAGAAACTTCTGAAGAAGTTTGATGGTGAGTTTGTCATTTTATTATTTTCTTTCTGATATCATTTTTAGAATCAAGGGCTGTTATCCTAATTCTTGAACTTTTAAAGAACTCAGACTGGATTAACCAGAATTCAGTTCATATATTCGCACCAACACGTATAATCAGTGTGATCTTAGCCAGTTCAGTTTGCCAAGTGTCAGTTTCTTATGTGTAACTTGAAGGTAACGTTAGAACGTATTCATTCCTTAAATATTTATTGAACACCGTTTACATGTCAAACATATTAAGTGCTGGGGATACACTGGCAAACAAATAGGCATATTCAGCCTACAGTGTAATAAGGGAGGCAGAAGATAATAATAAACACTTATATTTTTTGAAAGCAAGATTAGAATATATTCAATATTCTAGGCTTTTTCATGAATAATTTTTTTTTTTTGAGATGGAGTTTCACTCTTGTTGCCCAGGCTGGACTGCAATGGCATGATCTTGGCTTACCACAACCTCTACCTCCTGGGTTCAAGCAATTCTTCTGCCTCAGCCTCCTGAGTAGCTGGGATTACAGGCATATGCCACCATGCCCAGCTGATCTTATATTTTTAGTAGAGGCAGGGTGTCTCTATGTTGGTCAGGCAGGTCTCGAACTCCCAACCTCAGGTGATCCACCTGCCTCAGCCTCCCAAAGTGCTGGGATTATAGGCATGAGCCACTGCACCCAGCACTTTTATTCAACATTAACAGTCACGTAGAGTTACTTGAAGAAGTAAGCTCTTTAAAGTAGCATCTTGTATGTATTGAGTGCTTACCAAGTAGTAAGAATTATAAAGCATTTTCTAGACTTGGCTCTTGCCTCTAAATATACAGAACTCATTTTTCCCCCACCCCTACCAGCTGCCAAAAAAAAAAAAAAAAATCACATACAGCTGTTTCTAGTGGGTATATGGTTGTGGCTTTGTTTGCTTTCCTAGTCCTTGGTGGTTGTGAATCTGGTCCGAGGGGTGACGGATGGCTCTGGATGCTCTGTAAGCAGCTGCCATCAACTTTTCTACACCATAAAAACTTGGCATTTGGTGTGTTTCACTGAAATACTGATATTTTCTCCTCTTCTTTTTAAATAATTAGTTTCAAGAATGTGAATGAAATCTTACCACATGTTGAATATTCCTAATCTGAAAGTCCAAAATCTGAAGTACTCCCAAATTTGAAATTTTTTGAACACCAACATAACCCTCAAAGGTCACACTCATTTGAGCATTTAGGATTTCAGGTTTTTGGATTGGGGATGCTGGTAAGGATAATGCAAATATTCCAGAATCTGAAAAAGGCCAATATCTGAAATATTTCTGGTCCCAGGTAGTTCAGATAAAGTACACACCTCACCTGGATCATGATCCAGCTAGTCTCCCAACTAGTGAAACATTTTACCTGTTGACCAAAGTTTTTGCTGAGAACTATCAAAAGGTGAAAAGATCTGACGGGCCCAAAGACAAAGGAAATTTCCATGGAAGATTTTATAGGAAAGTGGGGAGGATGTACTTCTGGAATCCTTGTCGCGAGTTCTCCCCTCCCAACGAAGGATGCTGAAGAAAATAGCTTGTAAGACTTTCTGTCACTCCTTCCCCTGCTCTTACTCCCTTTTCTGTAGTTCTGTCTTAACTTGATTTTTTTCCATTATCTTTTTTTGTGGGGTCTAAAATTGTATGTAACTTAGTGCAAAAAGGAGCTGTTAAAATGACCTTTGGCAGATGATGGATTGACTAGTTCAGTCCTTTGCAAGGTTTGTGAAGGGATCCAGCTGTCTCAGATTACCATGCCTCAGTGTGCATTTTCCGAGGTTGTCAGTGATTGCAGTGAATGTGAAACTGGAGGACAAAGTGAAGTGTTTCTCACTGAATAAGGCATTGTTGAGCTTGCTTTGTGTTCAGAGCTGTTGGGAACAACCATGAGATTGACACAACAAGACGGAACAGGTGCTGGCAGTCTCAGCTAAGCACTTTGTTGTTTTGATGGATTTCAGACTGATTTTAAAGTTTTTCCAGTAGCACATGCTCATATTATGTATACACACGCATACATAGAATTTGAAATGTAAAAAAACACAAAGCCTTGATATGAAGAATAAAGACATAGAAAACAAAGCAGGCATGTGACAACCCATTTTCTGATGTTTAATGGATTGTTGTCAGTGGAGAAGCAGCAAGCTGATCTTTTATGACAAGAAGGCTGAACCTTCTGAAACTAAAACAATAGCCAAAAAACAAACAAACAAACAAAACCATGACTTTCTATTCAGTATAAAGAAGGATTTTCGAATGCATAGACTCTATACTTTTCGACCTCAGCAGTGGAATCGTTTGCCTTTAGAGGTAAAAATTTTCCATCGCTGGGGACATTTAAGTAGTGACTGAATGACTGCTTGTCTCAGATTTTTTAAAAGAACTTTCCTGTAGAAGAGACAGGTATAAGGTTAGACAAGATGCAGTCATGTATTCATTTGGTCACTCAGCAGATATTTTTTGAGTGCCTGGTATGTGGCGGGCCCTGTGCTAGTCACTGGAGACACTGCTGAGAAGAAAACTGACAAAATCCCTGCTTTCATGGAGCCTACATTTTGTAAAAGACTGTTTGACAATTTTTACTTTTTAGACAAATAAGTGAGTTAAGCTGCATGTGGTGGCACACACCAGTAGTCCCAGCTACTTGGGAGACTGAAGCAGGAGGATCCCTTTAGCCCAGGAGTTCGAGGCTGCAGTGAGCTATGATTATGCCATTGCACTCCAGCGACCAAGCAAGACCCTGTCTCTAAAAATAAAAAGGAAAACAAACAAACAAACAGGATGATATGCTAGGAGTAACTTCTTGGTATGGGATTACTTTTGACTTGAGATTTGAAAGATAAGAAGGAACCAGTCTTCTAGTGACATCTCTCAATTCTAAAATTCTAGGTCTATGATAATTTTGGGAACCATGTCTGCTAACTTTGAGATATTCAGTGGTAAAAGCCACTGCTCCTAGAAAATTATTTTATATGCCTTATGTTGTATTTAGAGACTAGAATTGTTTTTTAACTTAGAGGATTTAAAACTTGTTAAACCAGACCATTCTTCTTAGCAGTGAGGAAGCTGGCCTCCAGGGAACTGTACAAAAGGGGACTGGAATCTGGGTCTTCTGATGTGAAGTATAGTGCTCTTTCTTCTCTTCCAAGCTCTTGACATCCTGTTGCTCAATGTCATTCTAACAAGAAGGGTGACAGCATCACACTTTTTAAAAAGTGTAATACTTAACAAAGCCATTTGGTATTCATTATCTCTTTCAAGCTTCTCCCCACTCTGAAAAATCAGCAACTTGAAGCATCAAGTATGGTTTCACCTTATGAGCATCAAAGTTCCCATTTTGCAAATGAGGAAACTTAGATCCAGGTAAGTTTAAGGACTTTTCTAGAAAGGTTAAGTGAATAGACCAGGCAGCAGCAGTCAAGTATCCTGACTCATGGATTAAAGTCTACTTTCTTCCATTAAACTATATAGAAAAGTAGATAAAATAGTTCAAAAAAAGAAGAGATGAATAGTACATGGAACTGAGCAGGAAATCAGATAAAGGAAAAGACAGGTTTATTGTGACTCTGCTGGTCAGTCAAGACTGCTCTTCATAGGTTTACACCTTACACTATCCCTGTAGCTGGTTCAATTTTACCATACTTCAAAATGTGCTAGTTGTCTTTCAGAAACTAAGGCCTAGTTTATTTGTTAAACACAAATATTAGCCTAATCTCCAGTA